CAAATTCTATAGAAAATATATGAGAAGAATAAGTTATATAGAAAAATCGAATTCTGTTGACTTTTTCTATTGAATGTTTTCTATTGAACATGTCAATAGAATCAGCCAAAAACTAATAGAAAGTTTAATAGAAATTCAATAGAATTTTCTAACGAATTCGATAGATTTTTCTATTAAATTTTTTCGTGCGTGTTATCCTGTAGCTGAATCCTTTCTTTCACAATCACCCATTACAAACTGCCGATGCAACACAGACTTGAACCGTTTTGCCCCCTTTCAATTAGTTTATCTCAGAATTATTTCAAACTGTAGTCATTGTTGAGTGAATATTTGTGGCATTGAGAGTAGACTCGTCTAATCTCCCTCGAAAATATCATTTCGCTTCTCGTAGAGTGAAAGCTTGATATTTGCTCTGTTCTGTTGTGATTCACATTTAGTATATCCCGGAACTGCTGGTGATGTGGGGAAAGATTTTCTCGTTTTTGAGTGATGAAGATGATTTTTGTCAAAGTAGGAAGGCAACGAGACTGTGTACAGCCAGTGCACGAGGTACGATGTCAATTGGTCGGATCCCAATGTTATTGACCTGACTAATGGCAATCTCGAGGCTAATTTCACCGATTGGCCTGTCGTGCCTTGCGATCATGGATGGGAGTACGATGTGTCGGAGATCGTGTCTTCGATCGTGATTGATGTAAATATTATTCTGTTTTTTCAATTCAACTTTACTAGGAAATCAATTTTAGTATTGAAGTGGTAAACCGAGATGATATTTCTCAAAGATGATATTTTCCAATAGTATATTTCTAACCTAGGGAGGTAAAATAAAGGATCCTCAGCCGCCAGTGCAATTACCAGCCGAGCCGAAGGCGAGGTTGGTAAGCACGCGTCTGAGGGTCCTTTATTTTACTTCCCGTGGTTAGAACGCGATTTTCCGTCTCGGCGTAGGCGCAAAGTCAGAGTTCCCTCCCGCGAAGCGGGAGGGAAATGTAACTTTGCGCCCGCCGGGACGGAAAATTTATTATCGTAATTCCATCATTTTTATGCCATTGAATTACTCATTTTCCATTCTATATTTCCTCACAATTTGTAAACAAGGTGCCGACGTCACCCTGTATATGTATCAACATGAAATTACTAGTGGAATTATAAAAAATTATCAATTGAATACCGTGATGACTATGTAAAATAACAGTCAAATGGTGCAATTGGCAATTAGAAATTTAATAGAAAATTTCAGCGATTGCATTAGGTTTCATACGTGCTCCCTTTGATTCCAAGATGTTCATCGAAATTTTATCTGTGGTTGAGTGTAATTATCTCGTTTCACTATTTCAATGATTGATTAATTTTTTACTTAATTAATTATTGTTGTAATGTTTCGCTTTCTTATTTTTAGTTCGATCTCGTCTGTGATAAGGCGATATATCCCACACTCGGACTCGTGGCTTTAAACACTGGAGGACCAATCGGAGTTTATCTTTTTGGTACTTTGAATGATAGGTAACAGAATATACCTCAATGAAAACAAAAAAAACTATGGGAATTTGCAGATTTTTTCAGTTCTAAATAACTAATTTTAGGATTGGAAGGAGGCTATCGTTTTTTAGCTGTTTAGCCACTCTCATACTTGGAGGCATTATTACATCAGTTTCGAATAATTTCTGGACATGGGCTGCCTGCAGAATGGTCGTGGGGCTCACCATTCCAGCGATATATCAAATACCTTTTATCATTTGTAAGAAATCAATTTATTAATTTCTATTCTCGTTGAAACGTTAACACAACCAGTCGTTTTCACCTGTTGTCAAATTTGGAATCCTCTTGAAATATGATTATAACAATAACTGAATGACTTTAGGAGAAAATGTTGAAAGTTCTGAAAACGTGTAAAAACATAGCAAACACCAATGTCTGAATTTCACACATCTTTTGTAGACATTTTTCAGACACTAAAAAAGGTCTGAGCAAAATGAAAATTTATCTCAATTTCAAACACAAATTGAGATGTTTGGGCACCTGTTCGTCTGAAATTCAGACATATTTTCATTTTATTCAGACGGTTTTTAGTGTCTGAAAAATGTCTACAAAAGGTGTGCGAAATTCAAACATTCGTTTTTGCTGTGAGGATAACTTGATATTCCTTGCTAAATCACTTGTTTTCGGATTATAACGCTCCGATCCATTCGACCATAGATTTTTTTATAAATATCTGAAGAGCCACGCAAAGAGAAAAATAGTCATTTTCATCATAAGGTCCACAAAGTATTTTCTGACGGATGTGGCTTTATAGTCCGTGCCGAAGGCGAGGACTATAATCACATTCGTCAGAAAATATGCTGTGGACCATGTGATAAATGTAGTTTTTCACCCGAAAACTGCGATCTAACCGAGCGAAGCGAAGTTAGAATCGCGGTTTATCGGGCCATGTGACAAAAATTTTGTTTGTAGGGATCTGTCCTTAATTTTTAGGGATACTTCACACGCTGACTAAAATTACCTTTAGCGTTAAGAATTTTCATCATATGAACAACTGACCATCCCATGATACCCTTTTCACAGAAAAATAAGTGTAATAAAAGAAATATCCTTGATTTTTTTTCATCAAAATTAACCCGTCCCCAAAAACTGAACTTCTGTTTTTACACTTTCAAATTCTTTTTTTGCATTTCTAATGTTTCCTTCCATTTATAAAAATTGAAAATATTTTCGTTAGAAACATGAAAAAAAATAGAAATGTTATGTATTTTAAGAATATTTTTTTCTACTATTAACTTGTAAACAAATAAAACCGAAAAATTGGTCGCTTCTCTTATAAATGCGCCTCTATTAATATTAAAAATCTGAAAAAATTCATAAAAACTACAAAAAAATATGGAAACTGAGGGAGGAAAGTCTAAATGAAAAATGTTTACAAATTTACACAAGTCATTAATACTGTTCTTCGATAATTAGACAGTCATAAGAAACTACTCAAGTTGTTATTCTTATTATTTTACCTTTTTCGAGTGAAACACCTTCATTCTAGAAAGTATAGGTACTCAATTTCAAGCAGCGATCGATCGACAATCATTACGTTTGTAATATTTTGTAATATTAGAATTTGCACCTTTCTATTACTATGGTTGTTTATCTTCATTGAAATGTGAAAATAATAAAATGATTTATAATTTAAATTTTCTATCAACTATTGAGTAAATAATTCTCAATTTCATAAAAAGATTTTTCAACTCAACATGTAATGGTCAAACTTCTGACACGATTACTGATTGATAGATTATTGCGGAATTTGAATATTCAATTGATGATTAATTTGGTAATTGAAAATTGGTGGGTAATATTATCACTTAACATAAGCTGAATTTAACTTATTTTAAAGTTGATGATTGCTCTGATCCCTGATTCCAAGCGAAATAAAGGGAGCGTAATCCCTTGAAATAAAGGGAAGTGCTGTTAAATTCGATTGGACAATTATTCAAAATCCAATGCATGTACTCCTGACAATCACTAATTTTCAGACTTATTGTTACTAAAAATCACTGGATAATAGGATTATATCACTTATTAACTTTACGATCCGCGAGTTCCTAAAAATTAGGGATACATCCCTAAAAAATTCAACTTTTTTTGTATCATGTGTATTTCGTTCAGAGGAAATCATCACATCTTTTTGGTAAAGAATAACATATTCCATAAGAGATGTTCCTTCGCGAATTTTTCTAAATGCGATTCTCCCAACGATGTCTCCAAATATATTCTTGACTTTATATTCTTGTTATCGCTGCATGATTTTTCTGTTTTCTCTGTTTTTTATAGCGCTAGAACTCGTTGGCCCCAATTACAGATCATTCGTAACCGTACTGACTTGCTCATTCTACACAATGGGCCTGTGCATGCTATCAGGAGTTACTTACCTGATACCTGAATGGAGAACACTGGCTCTCGTCACCAGTACACCGTTCCTCCTGTATTTCATATACTGGTGGTAAAGTAAAGTTTCACTCTGTTGATATTTTTTTCCACAGCCCTCAATTGATCACTCTAAGCATGTCAACAGACCGTTCTGATTTGATATTTGATCAGGTTTCTACCAGAGTCTCCAAGATGGCTGTTAGCCAAAGGTCGATTGAGTGAAGCTAGTGAGATCCTCCAGACTCTCGCAAAAGTCAATGAGAAAGAACTGCCAGCTTCGTTTACGCAAAAATTAAAGCAAAGGATGACGATGTCTAGGTCGAAAAGTGAGGAGGAGAGGCTGAGAACTGGACCTGGGGTTCTATCGTTATTCAAGACACCTAATATGAGACTCAAAACGTGCCTTATTACACTCAATTGGTATGACAAATCTATACAAATATTACAGATTAACAAATAGTTGGTTGAATTCGTTATGGGAATAGTTATGAGGGATCGCGTTCAAATTTTAAAGTCATTGTTCGCTGAAAGGGCCCGTCGAGGGATTTTTGATACATGATAGGGCATTTAAAAAAGTAGGGAACGTGTTGAATTCAGCTAAGATCATGTTGAATTCTAACCCCGTAGTTGATGTAAAATTTTATTTTTTGTTTTTTCACCTTAAAAATACTTCTTAGACCACAATTTCAGGCTAATTTAGTTTTTTTTTTCGTTTGGAAATGTTTGGTAGACTTCAACGAATAAAATTGGGTCCCCTTTTTTTTAAATACAGAGTAGATCATGAGGAAATTCGTTTTTTCATCACTTGTGCGTAAAGTGAAATTTTACATTGTGATGAAAAATAGGGCTCGATCCTCGTGGAAGAAGTGTTCTTTGAGTCTGGGGAGGGTAGCACTTGCCTTCGGCGATCGCTACACACCTCCTAGACCAGTCCAATTACGGTTTGGAAATCAAGGATGATAGAAGAATGATGTGAAACACATACTAAGCTTTTGGGATTGTAGCAAACCGGGAAATTGTTTAAAAAAATTCCAAACTGCAAAATTAACCGTCCACGCGACCTTTTTTGCTTTACGCCAACGAAATCGTAATAGGTAGGATAAAAATGCATAGGACTTAATTTGTAGAGTATAAAATTTCCAACAAAAAAGTCAGTGGCGGCATTTTCATAATTTCAACCGTCAAGCCGCCAAGCGCGCTCAAAGTTGAACTACGAAAAATCTTTTCGTTTACTTGTAAACGAAAAAGGCACAGATCGACCATTCGCTGAACGTAACATCACTGTCGAAAAATATTGTTCGGCACATGCGAGACACGCATTTTCACGAGTGGGCAGTTGGCCAATCACACGAGTTGAAAATTCTGTCTCACTCGTATCGAAATATATTAGTTCGTCACACGGTCGAAAACCACTTTTCTAACTCACTAGATTGAGGTGTCCATATTGCCACACCCTCTCCAATGAATTTTCAAAAAAAAGGGTGATTTGAGGTAAATTTTGTTTTGTTGATGAACAACTACTTAACAAAGCGCCAGAGATAAAAAGTTCATTAGAGTTTCCCTCTCCTTACAGATTTCCAAGCTACCCTCACGATATTTTTTTTTATTGTTATTTTACATCGCTTCGGCCCGGTTAGAGTATACTGCGATGATGATAAAAGACATTAAATGGTTAGATCGCACCATTCTACCCGGCCGGGATTTGAACTCGGAACCTTTCGCATGTGAGGCAACGAACTTACCCACTGTGCCAAGTAGAGATGCAAAATGACCGTCATTTTTTAGATCACGTCATATGACCAAAAAATGACGGTTATGTGACGCACAAATTTTCCAACTACAAATGATTGTCACAAATCATTTGTAACCAAATTGGTGTCAAACCATTTATATAGTTGCATAATGACGGTCATAACTAATTTACAATTTGTGACGGTCGTGAATAAAACAAAATAGTTTCATCTATATGGATGGAAAAAAAACGTGATTTTCATTTCAAAATGCGGATTCAGCCAATACAAAAGGAATTCAACTGAAAATTGACCGAGAAAAAAATAAAGTTTCATCTATATAGATGAAAAATGACTGTCATTTTTTCTTGACACGTTGTGACGGTCACAGAAGGGGGAGGGGGAATTGTGACAGCCGTCATGAACGGCTCGTCATGTGACCGTCAATGACGGTAACATGACCGTCATATGACGGGTCATGTGACGCATTTGCATCTCTAGTGCCAAGCCACCGGGCAACCCTCACGATATCTCCCATCAATTTTGGAACACTTTGCACATTTGATTCAAACGTTTTTAGTGCTTTCTCACTGCCGTTATACATATTTTATGAGTCCTTTTTTCAATTGAAATTGAAAAATGTCTTCTAGGTTTGCAAATAACATGGTGTACGTAGGCCTCTCATACTATGGTCCAGCATTAGGAAACGAAGAGCACTTGAGTTTCTTTTTCTCTTCCCTAGCAGAAATCCCAAGTTACTTAGCTTGTTGGGTGGTGATGGACAGGTGGGGAAGGAGGTGGCCTTTATGTCTTTGTATGGTCACTGCTGGGCTTTCCTGCGTCGCTACAGTACTCCTGCCAGCAGGTAATGTTTGTAGTTGATTCATAATGTACCTCAATTCCATTTTGACAGTGGTTTTTATAGTATGTACTTCAAAATCCCAGAGAAATACTTACGATGTACTACACCCTTTCGGCCAAAATTCACGTTTTTTTCATTTTTCTGGCAAATTATTGATCGGATTGACGCGAAATAATATACCGTTTTTGCGTTTTATTGTTATTGACTGACTCACGAAGTTTCACGGTAGTCCAATCGTTTTCCTGCATTTTTTCTAAAGTTTTGTGAATTTCCCAAAAGTTTTAGAAAAAACGCAGAAAAATGATTGCACGATTATGAAATTTCGTGAGTCATTAAGTAATGATAAAACGCAAAAACGGTACATTTTTCCACGTCAGTCCGATCAACAATTTGCCAGAAAAATTCAAAAAACGTGAATTTTGGCGAAAAAGGTGTAATACATCTTTAAGGGGATACGTCGCTGAAATTTAAGTCTTCACTGGGCCTTGGGCTGAGTGTTCAACGACCCGTTGAACAGTTTGTGATATATGGCGGAATATGGGAAAAACTATTTATCGTGGTTACACGGGTCAAAATCTATCGGATCCGCGATTTTCTCGAGTTATTCCCATATTTCTTCATATATCACAAACTGTTCGATGAGTCCCAACATCCAGTGACGACATTTAAATTTCACCGACGTATCCCCTTAAGAATTGACCTGTAGTAAAAAATTTTTTTTCCAAAAGAACGAATCGTTCATTCCATGCATTCAATTTTTTAGATGCAGTACTGACAACACTAATATTATTTCTACTCTCAAAGTCCGCAATATCAGCGTCATTCTTAATAATTTACCCATTCGCTGGTGAATTATACCCCACACAGCTCCGAGGCGTAGCGATTGGGTTCTCAGCGTACATAAGTGGCCTCGGTCTCATCATAATCCCCTTTATCACCTATTTGGTAAGGCTTTACTCAATTAATTTCATTAACCTCGAATTAATGGCCATAATTGGATTTATTAAAGTACAGAAGAGATTTAACCCTAGAAAAACTCTTTTTCAAATTCGATTTATTTGTTTTAATGAGAGAATCGACCAACGGTAGTCAAATATTTTAGGAAAAATTTTTGTAAATATATCTTATCGAATAAATCTTGCTCATTTCCATACTTAATTAATTCGCCAAAACAATTCATTCATTAGGGAAAAGAGAATTTGGTGCTTCCACTCGTAATACTTGGGGCGGTCTCCGTCATTGGAGGATTGTCCGGATTACGACTGCCTGAGACACTGCATCATCGTTTACCACAGACTGTTGAAGAGGGCGAACTCTTCGGCAAGGACTGGAAATACACCGACTGCCTCAAATGTATTCCCACTAAGTGAGGATTTTTATGAAAATTCATTCAGTAGTCAGGTGGATTCGCAAATTATTTTGCAAATATCTCTGAAACCCGTGGGTTTCGAACAAAATGCAAAAGGATTTTTTTGCAGAGAATTTTAGGGGCAGAAAAAAGCTCTCGTAACATTTTTCATTCATAAAGCTGTTCATCTTGTAGTGAATTATCATCTAATTCACGTAAATTATTGAGGATTCAATGACACTTGACTTTTGTCAATGTTTATGGCTTCTAAAAAGATTGAGCTCAGTTTAGGCTCATCTCAAAGGGGAAGAATTGTACTTTCCATGGAAAAAAATATCCCATTTCATTAACAATTCAATGAGTTATTGCTGTTCCAAAAAAAGCCAGAAGGGTCCATTTTGCTTTGAAAAAATATAACGACATTTTTTGTATGAAATTTTCTTGGCTATAACAGGAGTCTCTTAAGGGGAAACGGAAACCCTTTGTGTTTATGAACTTTTAGAAGTGTGTTTTCTCCTGCAATTACTATTTTTTATTTATGAAACTATTTCATTGACTCAACAATACAATGATCGAATCGATAAAGTAGTGTCATAGATAAAAATTAATAATTGTAGGAGAAAACACAATTCTAAAAATTCATATACACACTAGGGTTCCGTTTCCCCTTAAGGGGAGACCGCGGTGAAATATGAAAGTTGCAGGGGATTGTCCCTGCCATGCTGCTGATTTTAGTACTCATTTTTTATATCCAAAAAATTAGAAAAAATCGAATTTTGGTGCACAGGCAGGAAATCGTCAAAATAGTCCCCTCACAGGATTTTTAATGGACTGACTTGAATTTTGGTTACCACATACATCATACAGTGATGAAAAAAATATGTGAGCTTTTATAGACAATAATATTGTAGTACTATGCGAATTGAAAGCCGTGACATATCAGTAAAGTACATTTTTTTATTACTCATTTTACAAAACAGCAATACTAATGATCAAAAAAATAAAATAAAAATTATAATTCATTGGTATGTCATTGCCTTCAATGTGCACGATGCTAAAATACGATTGTCCCTACCAATTTCGAGAAAAAAAATATAAAAAATAAAAATAAAAAAAAACATTTTTTTGTCGTCAATATATTATTTGCGTGGAAACCGAAATTCCAGTCAATCCATCAAAAATCATCCCTTCTCGTTAACTTCTCCCAACCAGAACGGTCATCAAAGCGGTGTGGAAAATAAAAAACCGTAAAAAAAGGAATTGAAAAAACAAATTCTTTCGTGCCGACGTTTCGAGCGCACTAAGAACTCTTCATCGGGGCACTTGAATCAATCTAAAAATTCAAAATTGTGTTCTATATACTGAGACTAATTTCCAAAAAATACATTTTACAATACAATCTGTGAGAAAAAAACAATTTTACCTAAAACTCTTTACGAAGGTCTTCATCAAAAATCCTAATAGGAGGACTATTTTAAAGATTTTATGCCTGTGCAGCCACATGCCGTCATTGGAAAAAATTAGAATTGATTTTTTCTCATTTTTTGAGTATAAAAAACAAGTGCCTAAGTCATCTGTATGATAGAGACCCTGCAACTTTCAAATTTTATTGCAGTCTCTCCTTGGTATTTTTTCTGAAATCTCTAATTATTATTTTCAATTGTTTAATCACTTTGGCAATGAGGGATGACTAGAAGAAATATCACAAGACACGTTTTATAGGAAATTTTCTTGGCTATAATAATAATCCCTCGATATTTCGTCATAGCATATCAGTCATCCGTTAACGAGGGATTCTACAGAGAATTGGCAAAAGACATTTTTTATTGAGAAGTTTACGGATCACAGGCTAGACTTTATCAGGTTTTTCCATAAACTTCATAGTTCCAGAGATATTCGCGAAATAATTGGGGTGAAATGTTGGAAATTCTTCGTTTTCTTCATCATTTTTTCATTTTCATTGACTTGACTCAATATTTCATTAATATAAATATGGTTTTTTAAACTGTTTCAAGACCACCCTCTGCAACAACGTCGTACGAGGATCTCTCAGCCGGCGAGACTGTGGAGATGCAGTCGGTATCAACTCAACCAATGTCTGAGGAGCCACGTGGACCAGCCACTGCGACTCGCAGACTCCTCATTCGACAATCGAGTGTCATGGAGACGCAGAGGGACTCCGATGGCTCCATCAAAATGACTTATTGGTTTTAAATCACAAATTGGGAGAGTTCGAAGGAATTTTGTGAAGAATTCAGGAAGAAAGTGAGACTTTTCAAGATAATTTAACACAAAATCATGAATTATTAATTTGAGTCATTTGCGGAGAAAATGGCCAGAGGCCTTAGCTGAGAATATTTTCCTAGAAAAAGGTCCCAATGGTTCATTAGATAATGGAACAATTCATAATGAAGATCAGTTATGCCAAGACAGGCTGTTAAATCTTCCATCAGTTAAGCATTCATCTTGATAATATGAAGTTACAAGAAAATATCTGAAGATCTTTGGTGTAAACAAAGAAATTGTTTGAACAAATCTCTTGATATTTTCTCGTAAAATCACTCATTATTCAAAGATAACAAAATAATTAACAAGTGAAATTAATAACATCAAATTAGACTGTTTCCTCAATTAAGAATTGATTTTGAAAAGAGCGATTTCTCAGGAAGAAATATCAAATCTTTTTATTGACGAAAATTGTCGACAAAAATCTCTTTTGAAGTCTTCTTGTAGAAGTAATCACTCTCGAGATAATTCAATAGTCAACAATTGGGTTGAATGACGAAATGTCAAGGGAAGCAGTTTACTATTTCCTCAAATAAGGATTTATCTCGAAAAAAATGGTTTTCGAAAAAGATATCAAGAGTTTTTTTTGTAGCCAAGAAAATTTCCAACAAAAAATATCTCTTGACATTCGATAATCAAAAATTGTAGATGAACAGCTTTATTACCACTGTCTTACTGAATTCCTCTCCATTTTCTCTCGACATCGAAGGGGAGAATTCTTCCTCTGTGCAGTAATTCTTTTTATTCATATTTCCTTGGTTTTTTGGGGAGGGTGTTGCGCATAATTGTGTGCGTGCGTGAGTCGAGAGGATGAATCTTCTCCCTCTGGTTTTCATTCTGGAGTTATAATCTTGTCGTTCTATTGTAACAACTGTAATTAGTCAGTCGAAAATTAGATCTGAATTTTTTAAGAAAATTATTGACTTCACTGTTGTTTATACCTTTCCAAGAGACGACGTTTGAGCTCAGGAGGATAGGCGACGTAAATATAGTGGTCGGGCATTTCGCCAGTGGGGATGAGCCTGTCCTCGCCATCCTCGTATTTTCGACGATCGTCGTGACGATTACTCCCTCCTGGATCGTGAAGCGAGGACGTGGTGGATGGACGATCATCTGAGCGGTCGTCGGCCATGTCCATACAATCGTCTTCTCCAGAACTGCAATTACAGGGGCACAAAGTCAATAGGGAACTTGCATGAATTTTTAACATCCCGACGGAAAGGGCGGAAGTTATTGTGATGACCTCGAAAATAAAATTTGGAATTTTCATAATTTGTCAACGTTTCATGGCGTTTAGCATCATTCACGTATGAAAAAATCTTGTAGAATTTTCTGTAGCATAACCTATACTATTTTCTATATCATATACTATAGAATTTTCTATAGGAAATATCCTATAGAATTTTCTATAAGAGAATTCGAACATTTCCTATAAGATAGGATTTCGTACAGGACGTCCTATAGAATTTCCTATAGGATTTCTTATGAGATTTTCAGCAGGATTTCCTATAAAATTTATTGGCATAAGGGTCGTAATGAGAGTTAAAAGTGTCATATGGTGATCATGTGGGGTTCATGTATGGGTCATAAAAAGCCATATTAAAGTTATTTAAGGGTAATATGACCATATAGGGGTCATATGAGGGTCATAAGAAGGCTCAAATGACCTTCATATGACCCCCATATGAGGCACCTATGACCTCTGTATGACCCCCATATGACTCTTTTGACTCTCATTCTGACCCTAAATTTCATAAGAAATCCTATTGAAAATCTTATAGGATATCCTATAAGAAATTCCATACAGGAATCAGGTTTTTCCTGTTGGATTTTCCCGTTGGAAATCCAACAGATAAAAATCTGATAGGTAATCCTACGAGAAATTCTACAGGAAATCCTATCTGAAGAATCCTATGGGGAATGTTGGAATTCTCCATAAGACTTTTTCATACGTGTTGCGTACCTGAGGAGGACAGAAACGACGTAGTAACAAGCAGATATCCCAGAGGAAAGCAGAAAGAGGAATGTGATGAGCAGGTACCAGGATGTATGGCGGTGATGACGTTTCGTGTCCTCCCAGTACCTGTCACAACTTAGGTACCAGCAGATTGCGCGATTTAATTCACCCTCGATATCCTGGAAGTCTTTCACTGAGAGATTAGCCAGTAATCCAGCAATACAGTCTCTCACAAGTACCTGAAGGAATCAAAACGAGAATTACAATTTCAAAGTCAATAGTGAAAAAAAGGTTCAAAATTTTTTAATTTTAATTAATTAATTATAACTCACTTCACATTGAATTTTGAGTTTAGCAAGTTCCTCAGGTTTGCAATGAGACTTCAATCTCCTAATTTCCGACTGTCTCTTCCTCTCCTTCCGATCCCCAGCTGGCAATGCAGCCTCCACAAGATTGCTGGGATCGTCGTCCTCGTCATCGCTGTGCTCGCAGGCACTGCTCTTATTATCTGGTCCAGCTATGTCCCTGTGATAATCTGATGTCCTCGCAGCTGAGGACGAGGTACTCTCCTCTCGTCGACAGTGCTTCTGACTCTGGTGAAGCGACCCTGAGGGCATAACTTCCGACTTGTCACTGACTTTACTGTAGATTCGAGTCAAGTCACGACACTCACAGGGAACAACTGTCGATGTTCTGTCAGTGTTCTCACGCCATACTTGAATATCTGTGTTTAGGGCACCAGTTGGATCATCGACTAGAGAACTTTCCAGTTCTGATGGGCCTAGTACGTCGCAACGCATTATGTCACAGTAATTTGCTAAACACACAGCATCTTCCGCCTGAAAAAAGACAAAATGTATTCGCAGAGAAAAAAAAATTAGTGTTCAGGGATCTATTCCCAATTTTCAGGGACCCGCGGTTCTAAAATTTGATAATTGAGAAGATCCTTGCATGCAGTGATTTTGTCACTAATTTTTCGTGACAACAATTCTGAAAGTTAAGGATATCCAAGTACTTTGGCGATTTTTTCTCCAGTGGAATGATTTTCCACATTTGTAGCCGAACATCAGAGCTTTTGGGCCTCATTTGACCTTGAGCTTGCGGATATTTTACGAGGAATTATTATTTAAACTTTGCAGGTCTGAATTTGAATCGATATTGAACGGTTAAAAAACATTTTAAAAATCTGAAAAAAAAATAGAAAATTGTCATGTTTGCAATTATTTCCAAAATAAATTTCATTTAGAAATTCATTCACTTTATAATTTCGACTTTTTCGTTGCCCACTGGACACTGAAGCTCGATTTACCGGGTTAATGCGCCGCGCGTAGCCTTCGAATCCCAAAATTGCTAGCGCAGCAATAATCGCACTATCTTTTCGGGCTCTAAACGTATTGTACCATTCGTTTGCATATATTTTTTTATTATTCATTTCGCTCCAAAATCTTTAATAAACTGTTATTTATTTATTAAATGTACCCATTCTTTACGTTGGTGTCAGAAGTGGGTGATTTAATTTGGAAAAATTAGCTATAATCATGTCCAAGTGGATACGTCTTTCGAATGGTGTTGCGTATTTGCCCTTTTCCTCCCTCTCAATCACCTTCATGTACGATCGTCTCTTTCTTACTTGATATTCTTTTATCTTGATTCCTAGTCCGCGGACGTGCCATTCATTTTTATATATTTTTGAATTGTGTATTTCGCCCCAGAATCTTTAATAAACAGTTATACATTAAATATACCCATTCTTTACAGTATTCTTTTTAAATATTTAGTTAGTCTCGTCTTAAATCCCAATCGGACAAATCAAAAGATATCAAGCTCCTTAAATCCTCACGCGTGCGTAACATCGAAATCAGTTTATCAGTCCCGCCCGACGTACATACAAGTGATAAAGGATCCAAGTTACTAAAATTCGCACAATTACGCCCACCTTCGTAGCGTGAACTTTAGAGTGAAACGGTATATAAGTCGCGATTTACTTATTACGTTTCCGTGAATGTCACGATGCAAGGACACAATTAGAAAACATCACGCACGAGAAAAGTTAATAGAAAAACCTACCGAATTCGTTAGACAATTCTATTAAATTTCTATTAAACTTTTTTTTTTAATTTAATTTCTATTAAACTTTCTATTAGTTTTTGGCTGATTCTATTGACATGTTCAATAAAAAACATTCAATAGAAAAGGTCAACAGAATTCGATTTTTCTATAAATCTTATTCTTTTCATATATTTTCTATAGAATTTGCTCGACTCAAATTTTCAAAGTTTTTTTCATTCCATTTTTCTTTTCTTCTCATCAAGAAAATTAAACGAAAGAACTTAGTTCTATAGAAAATATCTGAATAGAATAAGTTATACAGAAAAATTGAATTCTATTGACTTTTTCTACTGAATATTTTCTATTGAACATTTTAAAAGAATCGGCTGAAAACTAATAGAACAGTTCAATAAAAATTCAATAGAATTTTCGAACGAATTCGATAGGTTTTCTATTAATTTTTTTCGTCCGTGATGCTAATCAATTTAAGAACAATCATAGTACAATAACTTAGTAAAGAAAACCTCAAAAACTTGAATTAAACCGGCATAGCCATGTCCATAAATTATAATTACTGTTACATTATTGTGAAGTCAATTAGTTAATATCACTTTTAAATTTTAATTATTGAAATAGTCATCAATTTAAATAGTAAAATTTTGAATTATTCATTAATCAGTAATTGAGTTGGGAATATTGACGATTATGTGAATAATCGGAAATCCCTTGTACGAAATTTAGTATTATCTACTTGATGGTCAACCCTGGAATTAAATATAAATGAAAACAAAAAAAACTATTAGGGGAGGGTAGCGCAAAACGGACCGCAGGGCAAAACGGACCACTGACAGAACGTTGATAATTTTTGTTTATTTTTCTTTCCTTCAAATCAGGAACACTGAATGTTTTCCTATTCTAAAAAGAACATACACTTAAAGTCGATAACTATCGATATCTCGCAAGTCTGTTACGCTTATTCCTCATTGGTTGCAGTCGTCTGAGGCGGCAAATTTAATTCATGATTTATTTCATTTTGAAATTTTCAATTATGATTGTTACAATTACAGCGCGCTGTAGCGCGCGTTCGGTCTCGTGAATTAAAAGTGAGTTTCGTGGATCCTAACCGTCACAGGGGTTTTATAGACAAGAAGTGTTGTTGAACCGCAGTTTGATCAGATTTGCTAATCACCTCAAACCACAAATGGCGTTGAATTTTTGATTTTGCTTCCATTCGGAAGCAAATACAAAAATTATCAATTTTCTATCAGTGGTCCGTTTTGCCCTGCGGTCTGTTTTGCCCACCTGGTCCATTTTGCCCTACCCTTCCCTATCAAAATAACAACGGTTATCTGCAAAATTACTTTGGATTAATTGAACTAGACGGCTGTATCATCGAAATAATTTTATGTTCAACAGGATGAGAAAAATACGTTTCATCAGCCAAGATGGGTGATTTCGAGAAATTTCTTATTATGTCAACATTCCGAGAAGAGAAACCTTATCGTAGTTCGCGAATGTATATGAATTGAGATCGATCAATCGCAGGTGATTAAGTCGAACCGGACATTTACCGAGATTTCTTTCTCAATTGACATTTTTTCATTCTTCCCATTCCCGTATACCTTTCGGTTTTTACGAAAACTGTTCCTTCCCATTTACTTTCCGAGTTTCAGCCATCGTTCTTTCCGCGGTGTTCCCTCGTGGTCACCCCTCCACTTAGTGATCCCGCTCAGCGCTGCTCAGCTTCCCAAAGCTAAGCCTGCCCACCAACGCAGTGCGCTAGCCCCTCAGGACTGTCTCAATTGACAAATTAAATTTTTCTTATTTTTATTCTCCCTCTTTAAAAGAGGGAGGACAAGTGTGAAAAAATAATCATCAAAACTTACTGTGTTGACATTACTCTTATGCCTGCTATCGAAATGTGCCTCTAAATGTTTCTCCGAGTAAAAAGATTTTCCACATAATCCACAAGTCCACTGAGACGTTCTGTGCTGATACTTGGCAGCCTGTTGAGGATAGAATATATCCCGACTCTCGTGAAAAGGACACTCCAGGGGTAGTTCTACCTGGTACTTCTTCAGTATCGGTATCCATCTCTACGAAGAACCCGCGAATTTCCGATAAAAATCGCCACGAAAAATTCTCTTAATTTTTTAAAACAATTCCGACGATTTAATTACCTTTTGTACGATCCGTCTGACCATCGAAGCACGATCCCGGGGGCATGATATTTTAAATACCGAGGGTCCTGGCCAAGGGATAACAGACAGTAGCAGCACCACCACAATCTAAATCATTAAAAATTCACAGTTGGAATAAAAAAAATTAATTAATTACTAAAGCTCTTGGTCGCAAGCCGGATATAATGCTCAATCAATATTTGTCTTATTTCCGACTCGTTCAATGTGGAAATTGTTGCGTTTTAATCTCCCACACCATGAATGCAGAATATTAAAGAGATTAAAGTATGAAGATGTAAAAACTACCGCGGAACAATTTTTACCTCGAAGTGACAAGATTTGGTCTTCATTCATAGCCTTCTGTTTGATTTCTGATCGAACTAAATTTGATCGTCCCTGCGGAATTTCTGTGATGATGACAATGTGCTTTTTTCACCGTCTATTCTCGCATCAGGGAACTACATATGCGTTTGCGCGCGCACGTGTGCATTGACATTAAAGTGATATTGCAGGGGGTGGATTTCACCCCTTGGAAATGGGGAGAAGAAGTGACAGCGTCGATGAGGTCACGCAAACGCAGTTGGCGAGCGCGTAATTTTATTTTTTTATAAATTAAGTGGTCATGTCGGAATGGTTCTAATGAAGCAATTCAGTTGAACTGTTCAGAAGACATGCACCACATGATTCACTTTTCCATTTAGCTTCTTGTCAATATTCAACTATGATACTAGTTCATACGCTATACGATTCCTTTGGCGCCACGATTTAACTTGTTTTTAGTACCATTTTTCCCCAGGATTACGAGAAAAATAATAAAAAAATTCCATCTCAATTATTTCTCTTGAATTATAGAGATTCTTCATAGAAGACAGAGGTTTAGATAGCGTTCCATATCTTGTGGCATCACTGGATATTGCTGGATAGGATTTTGGAGTAGGTATGAGAGGAACCAGGATAATTCTCAATATCAGTTGACAAGACAAATTTACTGAGAAAATTCGAAAGTGCAGACTGAGATTTGAACCCTGGACCTTCCGATTATGTATCAGGTGCTCGCCCAACTTCAGGTAAGGTCACACTGAGAGAAAAATATAATTCTTCTGGCTATATTCCATCACCATCGAATTATAGTCAAAAAGTCCTCAACAATTTTTCATGGGTTACGGTAACTATGGCCGGAGAAGTAATTACTACAATGGAATGTAGTCATTGCAACTATTTTATAGTTCTCCTCACAATAGATTTGTCATGGTTACTTTTGAACTTTGGGTAGTATAACTGCATTTTGATTTGCAAAAATTACGCTTGTGAAGTTACTATAATGTTATGTGCCGCATACAAAAAAACATCGTATCGTTCACCAAAATGCCTCAACCATTTCCTTATTGTAAATCAAACTTCAGATTTTTCTCTGAGTGCACAAGGGTCATATAAAAAAAAAGGAGTTGCTAGGATCACGAAAGTCACAAGGGTGACATTGCCTCGGTTGAATGTGTTTTTAACTGAAAATTCTGCTGTTGCAGATTTTGTTAAAAATCAATCAAAAACATCTCCAACAAAAAATTTCTATTAAAATTGAGTTCTGTTGTTTTGATGTTGTAAATATAATCATTGAATTCAAATGTGGGAATGTGAGTGCATGATTTGGTGTGTTAATTACCTATACGAAGCTTTATGGAAATGTTCGTATCTTGAAAAATAAGGATTGAAATGCTTATATCCCAAAAACTAATTGAGCGGAAATTTTTTCTCTATTTTTCCCGTATTCCTGCGGAAAAATGCGTCAAATAGCGGCGCCAAAGAAATTATAATTTTCCTATTGTACGAATCGCCACGTAAATTCTACGATCTGTTCCATAAAAGTTAACCAACCGTCTGATGATTCACCGCTGTGGGGAGAACAAGTCGTTCCGTAATTTTTTCCGAACGATTGAGAAATTTTACGGAACGGAACGTAGAAATAACTCACTAGCTTCGTAAAAATTGTTGAACGTTCAAGTATTTTTAATTTTAGAGCATAATAAGTCGGGAAGTTTCTGTAAGATTTTACTTTTTCGTGAAAAATTACATGACAATTTCGTACTTTGTTCGTTGATGAACCTGAAAGTTCACCGAACGTTTCAGATTTCTTCTCTTCCATTCCTATAAAAATTGCCGGAAAACGATTCCCCATTGCGGATTACATGAATTGTTCGGTAATTTTTACTGAATATTTCTCTCCGTGTACGGATCCATTCAGAAGCTTACTACCAATGGAATTGGTGGAAATAATAGTACATTAGAGTACAAGGGCACAAATTTCGTTTTCAACGAATGTGTAGTTTACAGGCCGAGCCGAAGGCGAGCAAAACTTTCCTACTGATTTATTTTCTATTATAAGCTGCATTTTTTTTTCTTCTGTTTGTATTTATACTGAACCTATGGAACCTACCCTGTTATACAGGGAGTCTAGGGAGACAGGTGAATAAAAATAATTATTAATTATTATTAATAGAATTTGGTAACGAATGCGTTAGATACTTCTATGAAATTATTTCGTACGTGAAACAACTCAAAAAAAACTTGGGGTACTCAATTGACGAATAAAACAATTCATTCATTCAAGTTTGTAATCAACCTTTATTTAGAAATATGCGCAATTCAAAACCAAATGTCAACGGATTATTTTCATCTGTTATTTTTTCAATCTTTCATTTCTTTATTTAAACCAGTGTATCAACAAGAGCTGTATTGCGGGTCCCCGTAATCCAGTGAACATCATCGATAAAACATGCCAGCCACAATCACATTAATTCAATTATCTCTGAAATAGTCCTGCACCGTAAACTCGGGGAAATCAGTGTTTGTTATTATCGTAAATTCGTCGTCAATACACACATAGATAATCACTGTTTTAATTTCTTAATAAATCCTCAATAGTGAACAACACCAACAGCGGAGTCTTTGATTTTTCATCATTTCCTTTAAATTCATTCAGTGTTTTGAAATCCTTATAGCTGAAGAATCTGAAAATATGCATTTATTGGATTCAATGCACTGTCCCGTCTCGTCTGCGATCAGATTTGAATCTCCGTAAATTTATTGCATGGAAAATTCATTCAATTTTTATGTCATTGCATAAGTGTGTAGAGCCGACTAGATGGTGGGGTGAGATGATTTTCTATGGACGGCCGCTACATGAAGTCATCGTACTCGTTGTCGTATGTGTCATATCCGTACTCACTGAGATGAGTATTTTCACCCTCAATTTTCAATTTCGCCTTGCCTTTACCCTTGCTTTTCTTTCCTTTGTCACCTTTCTCGATCTTTGATTTCTCAATCGCTAAATTTTCCACTGTTGTTTTTATTTTTTTTAGGGAAATCGAAGAAACTGAAGCATGAAAAAATACAGATATTATGAAACGATCAATAAGAATCCACGTTTTTGGGAGATTATTTTGCAAATATTTTCGAGTAGTTGATAAAAAAAATATGTTTTACTTCATGCGTTATATCAGGCTTTTTGCTTCCGAATGGAAGCATTGTAATCGTTTAAATTCAAGTTTTGGATTTTTTGTGTTATATCGACCCATTATGATCCAAAAAGTTCGAAAATGCATTTTTTAGACCGTGTCCGTCCGTATGTGTGCATGTATGTATGTATGTATGTATGTGTTATGTGACAGTTTTTCGTCGATTTCACGCTAATAAATCGATGGAATTAAATCTTTTTTTTTGTTCTTAAATAAAGGTATTGCTAAGCCCTATCCATCGCCATTAATTAAAATTTAATTCATTGATTAATTTTTTTAATGTTTTCAAAATTCAGTTTCACATGATAACTAAAAAAAAATTTTCTAAATTTATTGAATGACGATTTAAAAAATTTGTTGGGATGTCCTTTTGATCGAGTTCGAAGATGAAAGCGATAGCGAAAATCGTTATTTTTATTTCTGTTAAATCTTTCCTAAATTTCGTATTTTTCGAAAATCAGAATTTCTCAGATATCTTTGGATATTGCGCTTCAAATGAATTCAATCATAGCTTAATATGTTTGTTTCAATGATGAAGTTAAAAGGTGGATACAATAACTTTCTCGGTTAATTTGATTTTTAGGATAATTTTTTGAAATTTCGAATTTTTCATGAATTCCCCTGAAAGTTAGCTTAGTGATTCGCTCATGTGATGAAACGTCAGATAGAAACAGTGGAAAAACGAATATACGAGATGAATAAAGTTTATAATATCTCGTAATCTCTGCATGAACGAGTAAATATTTTTGAAAGAACTAAATAAAACAAATCAAAACAAATATTTTGAAAAAAAATAAACAATAGCTTTATACAAAAAGTTAAATATCTCCAGAACTACGCACTCGATTTCGCCCATCTGAAATCTTATCCTGTGCTATAGTAAGAACTAGAATACTACCAAATTTCGATTTCCTACCTCAATTTCCTAGAGAATTAGTATACTCCACCGATTTTATCACAAAAATGCAAAATGTTGTTTACTATACGACTCGCTCTGGTTAGCTAGGTATTATTCGATGGATATTATCATAAGGAATATACTCATATGTTGACACAAAAAAGTTTACTTGATACAGTAGCTTTAGAGATATTGAAGGAAAATAAAATTTTGAGGAATCGCTGTATCTCAAAAACTTATGGATGGATTCAGCTTAATTTTGGCATAGAAGTGTCATGAAAATTAGAGAATCGCAAAATTCATCGAGATGAAAATTTACCATAAAAATTTATTTTCGTCATTTTGGTGACAACAGATTTCTTTAGTTTGTGATGATCCAAAATGATCAGTAATGAGCTTGCAGTCAGTGATGTGTAATTTACGTGTAAAATAACGGTAAATTGACTGATCAATGTTTTCGTTGCATCACTACTGTCAACCCTTTGCATTCGAAAATATCTGCAAAAAAACCCATTCCATTTTTCTCGAACTTACGATTCACAGCTATACGATTTATTAACTCCTCAGCAAACGCTGGAAACTCTGTGTGCTTGTTGAATTGATTGATCTTAGCTATGAGTTGTTCACCAAACTGCTCAAACTCCTCCTTGGTATCCGGCATCATGGCGTCAAGAGCTGTCACGCCTTCGAAAAAACGCATTCATCGATTTACATAAATCCCAATTTTTTTTTTCCAAAAAGTCTTAATAACTTGCAGCTTCGATTCGATCAGGAACAGTACTGGGATAGATTGATAACAGAATTACTAATGACAATGAGGAATAAAGACTGATTCGTACACAATAACATAATTTTGCATGAAACAGTAATTTTTATTATAGTACAATAACATTAGTGTTTTATCTTTATCGTTTTTTCTTTCTCTCGTTAGTGTTTCTCTCTTTAAAAGTAATAAAATTGACAATTGTGATTTGTTTAGGTTGTCACATCTATCTCGGTACAGTTCCTGACAATCTCCACATGATTTTTTATTGTTTAATTAAATTTTACGAATGGCAAATCTTATTTGGACGATCACAATCGACCTTCAATTTTAATAATACTGCATTTCCTCGTTGAAATGACGTAGATCGCGTGTTTTTTTTGTTTAATGACTAATTTTGCACACATTCAATACAATTGACGATGATTTAAATTTTTTAAAGGCGTTTCATGCCTCATTTTCATGATGGATTACTGAAGATCTCTCAATTTACGTAAACATCAATTGTTTTTCGACTTTATTATTAATTTATAAATAGTTTTTCACTCGTTTATTCATCGCGATTAACGAGTCTTCTCTTACTCTTGAGATTTTGTTCCACTCACTGGTGATTTTTAAAATATTTTTTTAATGCTTGTGGCGATTTTTGTCCCTCGTTATTAATAAGCAATTAGAGTGGGGTTATTTTTTACTGGTTTTGGGGGGTTTACGGGGACTAAAGTCTACTAGATTCGACAAACCGAATGTCTCCATTGCAAGACGAAGATCAGCCTCCTCAGCCATTTTTTGCCTCCTCAGCTGTTCTGCTCTCCTTTCCTCTGGTGTCATTGCTTCCTCCTTTTCTCTGGCCTTTCTCTCAGCCTCTTCACGATCCTTTTTCTGGAATAAATAATGTCGTCTCGATTTCCTCCTTTTTTTTCATTTTCTGAAAATAATAGTGAATCTTTACCTCTCGTTCTTCGATCTTCTCGGCGACCTTTTTCTTAGGCTTCGATTTAGCCTTTGGAACCTCTGCTGGCTTCTCGACATCCTTCTTCTCTTCTTCTTCAACGTCTTCCCAACTGTCCTGTTGGCATTAAATTAATGCAAAAAAATTATTCTTCGAAATTTTGGATTTCTTGAAGGGGAGGAACAGTAGCAGATGTGTCTGAAGTACAAATTATTACAAAATATCTTTGAAACTAGTCGATTTAGAGAAATAGTTAGAAAATTTTTTCCTTAGAAAAATGATACATTCCGAAGTGAGGCTTCTCGATTAAAAAAAAATCACACTTCCCCTAGCTATTGTAACGAAAAATGTCAAGACTCCTATTTCTCCTACAATTGTTAATTGCCAAAGATATTCAATGCATAGTATATGTTAAAAATTCTCAATTTCTAATAATGAGGTCAATATCTTGAGAGCAATCAGATTCACAAAAAATGTAAAAGTTAATTTCATAAAAAAAGAAATTCATGCCACAAAAAATATCTCGTGAAATTTCTCTCTAGTTCGAGAAATTCCAGACGTATTTGCAAAATAATCTTCATTAGATCTCATTTTTCATGAAGTAATATAAACTAGAGAATAACAGAAATGGCTGCAGAGACTAATTTCGAATCTGACAGATGAATTTTAATAGCTAGAAATAAAGTGCTTCAATTAAGTCAATGACTATGTCCCTTTATAAAGAGCAATCTCGAATTTTCTGTCTGATTGTTACTGATTCACCCAATTATTCATAATTTCTAGGCTTTTTATTTTAAAATTGAGTCGAAAATCGCGTGGGGAGCACATGCTCCAGCAAGGTTAACTCTCAGCCATGTCAGTGGCTGTGCAGCTCTCCCCCAATCTGTGCAAGTTTCAAAAATCACTGATGGAATTTATGGAAAAATTAGTACCTTAACTTCTTCCTCCTCGTCTTCGCCCTCCCATTTGTTTGACCTCAGAGCAAGTTCAAGTTTTGCTTCAATATTATCCAGATCTGTAAAACACGAGCGTGAAGATCAGCATTGGTACTCATCAAAAATAAATTCCTCCGCCTCCGAATAATTGAATTGTGCGATTTACTGAAAGTTTTCTCGCTTACCCCAGTCGTCGTCCATGATTATTTGTTTCTAAGCTAAATTAATCACTCGCAAGTGGTAAAACACGTCGATACAGTGAAACATACGTTCCGAGTTTTGTCCTGAGGGTCTCGGAGAAATGTCGAGACGACTTTGTGATTTCACACACGACTTTCGGCGGACGACGTGAACAGCTGCGTGCGCATAGACGCAGATTAAGGCGGGTTTTCAAGTAAATTTGAAATTATTCTTTGTGACTGATCCTCTTTTTCGCATTTTCATTTCTTCAGAATTCGGAAATTTAGGGTGAACAGGCCAATTGCTGGGCGGTTAATGGAAATTCGAGTTTCGTGGTAGAATCTAAAATAACAGAATCACCTAAATGGGGATATGATGCCTTCCATACCTTCAAAAATGTTTTAATTAACAGAAAAAACACCATTTGAAGTGAAAATAATAAAACAAAGAATAATAGAATTAAGAAATAGTTGAATGCAGCCAAAACCCCTAATTTCTGGACGACAGGCCCATTTTCTTTAATTTATCAAATGTCGATCAATAGAAAAAAAAATCAGGCCCGGTCGCGCGCTCCCTCTTTAGGGTATGATCGGTAGGGGTTGGTGGAATTGGATGTGACCCATTACGGGTCGCACCAATAACTTCCCGACCATTTGTTTTTTCTTTCATTAATTTTTTTATTATGTATTTATTCAATCTTTTTCTCACATTTCTCCGAGGAAATACCCATAGAAGACAAGAAAATCCGTGCGCGTGCTCGCACTCACACACACTTCCATGCATATACAGCGCCGTATTCCGCATCGAGAAAAGATGTAATTTATCAGAAAAGTAAAATTGTTTCTTGAATGTATATCGATTTCGAAAAAAGCTAGTGAACTGCTGATTAAATGTCTTCCAGTATTCCATGATTTGTGCGTTATATCAAGATTCATCGTTTCTAACAAAAAAAACTTGAAATCGCATCGTTATGCACGGAGAAATGGTCTCGTTTACAAAAAAACGCTAATTTTCGACTTTTTTCCAAATTTTTTTTCGAAAAAACTGGAGAAACACTGAGACGATCGTCTCCATAATCTAATCAGGTTCAAGTCACATGAAAATACAGCGATTAAAAAAAAAAGTCAAATCGCATTGTTTGTTCAGGAGGAATCGTGGCACAAAATTTTTGTCACAGACGTACGCACACACATACACACATCCACACATAGAGACAGGTACCTGAAAAGGGTCAGAAGTGGTTCCAAAGGTCATGAAACGTGGAGAAATGCTTAAATTTCCACATTCGATTTTCGGGGTCATTACAATAACTTCCTCCCTTCGGGTCGGGAAGTTAATAATTGATCATATGATTACACATGAGTAGGGGAGACCGGAACAAAATGGGCAACGGGGTAAAATGAGACCCCTGTAAAATTTGAGATTTTACACAAATGATTGATTTTTCTATAGTTACTGATGAAATACCCAATTGTTAGTAGATTTAAAGTATAAGTATAACTCAGATTTCAAAGATTACAATGTGAAAAAATTCTAAATGGAAGTTAATAAAAATAGCAGCATTCTGGTTAAGTTAGCATTCAATTCTTAGTCTAGTATTATTGATAATAATTAATTAATAAATGCCAAAGTAACCATGGCCATGACGAAGTTTGATCCTCGTGAGGTAAAGCGGAACTCTTGATTATTTCACTTGATTTATGATCAATCAGCCATTAGCCTTAAAATTTCATAAACAGCCGACTAGTAATTTTCAGAAGATAAATATTGAATGCGATTTAGGGAGAACAAAATTATAAAATTTCAGATTTCACCGAAAATTCCAAATTTTTAAGCAGCATCAAGACAAGAATTCCTCGACTTATTAGAATTTTCTACAAAACAAGCAGCGCGACAGAAGCCATTTCATAAATTACATATGACTGCTACTCTCCACGGAATTTGTTTTCTCCTATTTTCATTTCTATCAATTTTATTGGTAGTAGACTTCCGAATGAATCCTAATGTATGTTTTCAAGAAATGAAGGCATAAGGATTACTATTTTCTGAAAATATTAAGGCCGATCTCACTCATACTTGATGACAAATATCGTTAGCTATTATTATCGATTTATAAAAAAATCATACTTCCTATGATGACAATTCGGGAGAATAAAGAAATTATTAGAACACGGGTTATTAGTCACACGGGTAAGGTGCGGCGGCGGTCATCTAAGCTTTGTCTAATTTTCCCCTATTTCTATAGAATAAATGTGAAAAAAAAACATATTCATGTTATATGGCATTCACAGGTATCCTGATGTGAAAATGAACGATAAAATATAGATGCGTTAATTTTTTTTTCTCAAGAATTTTGGGCAAATAGTTCCATCTCAAGAACTATCAAATATATCGACCTAAAATTTGATATAGGAATGTTCCTTGATAATCCTAACTAGAAGCCAAAGTGTCAAAAGGTTTCCCTGACATTTACCCATGTCATAGTGCGCAAGTGAATTCCGACCAAAAAAATAATTACAATGCTCCCATTCGGAACCAAAAACAAATAGAATTTTTCAATAGAATTCCAATAGAAATCCTTAGAAATCCCATAGAATTTCTATAGAATTCCAATAGAATTTTCTAGCGAAGTCGCTAGGCTTTCTATTTCATTTTTACATATGTGTTCATATTTATGTTTGCAGAACTAATGACTAACAATAAGGTCAAAGAGTGAACAATCCTAGATCAGATATTCATCTCTAGTTATTTTCCATGTTATTGATCTTTCTAGTCAGCAGGTGGGTCACTGGGATCAAAACATTGATACATCACACAGGTTGTGCCAAATTGCTTTATATTTATCTCCAACAACCACAACTTATTTTACATAACATCACTGTCGTCCTCGATATTCTCATTTGAATATTGGCACCAGAATTTGTCGATTTGTTTTTTCAGTAGATAATTTTGTTATTCATCCTCGCTACACGAACAGCCTGGACCTGGCCGACTTCCATCCTCGCAAATCCGCTGACAACTGCGCGCCAGTCTTGAAGCAGTACCTAAATAATATGATTCCATTTGGATTATTTGCTGCACTAACCCCTTCATTCATATTCATGTGAAAATACCATGTTTTTTCACTCGTTAAACATAGAGATATGTATACTATACTTTCAATTTAAAAATTCCGTGCCAAAATTTCTTTTTCTTCTTTTTTCTTGACATCATCCTCAGATAATTTAGAGATAATTTAGCAATTCGCACTGAGAGAAATATCGTTATAATATCACAAAGCTAATTTCTTGCGCCAAATATCTTATCTCTTGAGGATAGATTTCTTGGGATAAGAATTACGGAGAATGTGTCAGACAATTTCAGATTTCGGTGAAATGTTCATGACTTGAACATGAACATTTCACGATGAAGTGAGAATTTCTTGCCACAGTAAATCGGTTTTTTCGTATGAGAAGATGAGAAAATGACTAAAAATATTGAAAGCTTTGATTCAGTGAATTATCAATCAGAGACTTTCATATTGAATGAATGAGAAGAGATGAAAGAGATTTTATGCAGAGGAAAACCTCCAGATATTAAAAATACAGCAAAATCTTCTTTTCCTTCTGTCAATCTATTCTTGTCTTTTAAGGAATATCATCTCATTTCGAAAAAAGACATCATCTTTTCATTCAGTAACTTTCTCCTTGGCCCTACTTAGCCCGATTTCTTGTCTGAAACCTACCATAAATTGATCAAATATGTATGCGATGTTTTTCGCTCAAGAAATGATTTTTGTGATATTATGGCAATTTTTCTTTTAGTGCATGACTGGTGAAGTAATTAGAGTCGAATATATAATATTCTTGATTATCCATGCACCTCGGAAGCGGAAAGTTTTAGAATTCACTGTCATGCGATCGTTTTTTGGAGATCATATTCAGGGGACAAAAAGGGTTCTGTTGATATTTCTGTCCAACTTTGACAGATAAAAAAGTTTCTGGTTTTCAGTAACAAACACTCAAAAAAAGGAAAATTCAATAATGGGTCGAGACTTGAATGAGACGAGACAAGGTCGAGACGGGGCCGAAATTTTAACCCTAGTCTGGTCCCCAAACACGCCCATGCGGCTTGGTCACCTACGCGGGGATTCCCCGCTGTGTTATTAGGTTTTAGCGTTGCCGAATTCACTCTACACTACCCGGGCACGTTTAGCGACTTTCCGGCAACGTCGCGTCACGAGCAATTTCATTTAACATGGGAAAAAATAATTCATCTATCCGAATTAATTTGTTTTCTTTAGGAATTTTGGGAAATATATTGTTCTAAAAACTACTATAACTTTTTAGACACTTCAATTGACAAAGTCGTTTTTTTTTAAATTTTTTCGGTAAGTCAGTCAATTGTAATTAAAGAAAAACAACACACGGCGGGGTTTCTCTCATAGGGTGACCAATCTGGGGTTAACACTCCGTTGGTCGCGCCATGAGCACCGCGCCGCACTTTTTCCAATTTTTTAAATTACGGGGAAAGCCTTAGAAAAATTTGAAAAAATTTAACATCTCATTTTGAAGTGGCTAGAAGCCCTATCAATGAAAATATCCGCCAAAAATATCGTAAGTAGTTAGATTTTCAAATTTTTATTGCGAAACTTCGGACCGTGTCCCGTGTATAAGGCAAATTTTCAGAAAAACGTGGCAACTTTGAGCTTGAATATATAAATAAGGGTAACACTGAACGTAAAAAATCTCACGGGACATCTTCAAATAATTTGACGAAGGGTCAATAATTTGAACCAGATAGTGAACCAATGGTAAATATCCAATCATCTCGGAAATGAGTGTTTCTACACAAATAATTGAATAATCCTGTTGGTAATGATATAGTTTATTTGTGATACTGAATTGATCAATTTTTCCATTATGTTCAAGGAATTCAGAGATCCCACAATTAATCAATTTCATAACAAATGAATTCGAGACAAAGGTACAGGAGAGTTCAAAATAATCTAACGACAGTTGAGTCTGAGTGTAACGAAGGAAAATAAATTTGAGATTTTTTAATTAATAATCTCTTGTTTGACTAGCGTGTTTTTATCAGTGGCCACCTGGTATATTGGGAAATATTTCCCTCTCCACGGCATGGCCAACAACCAACACATCGTTACCACATTTACATAACACGCCATTTCGAAGCACTCAGAAACATGAATTATTCATTGAAAAAAAAGTTTGAGACTGTCGATAATTTTCATATTTGAGAAGGAATTTATTTATTTTTTCATTTTTTTAGATTTTTTTTCTTAAATTTTCAACCTTGCAAAGATCTTTTTATTATAACTCTGTGTTATTCGGCACTTCTCTATTAATTATTAGTAGTAATAACAATTTCAATGCCAATTTGCTTCAGATTTTCATCACTAGAAATGTTCATATTATTTAATATATTCTCGGGAATTGGGGGATTCAAACCCCATCTAGATATTTTTTTCAAATTTTTCGGATATACTACATCAGTATCGACTTTTTTTTGTTGATTTTTAGATTTTCTATCAATGGATTCTAATGAGGTTTTTTCCAATAATTGTGCATTTATATACTAACTCGCACGAAGAGAAATTCGTTAAGAAAATTCTAGTGCTAGCATGGGAAAAGAGGCGTAAAGTCCAGCGAGGGAACAATTCCACTGGAAATTTTATTGGATAGCATGTCAAGTTTTCTTGTATTCATATGAAATTTTTACAGAAATCTCCAGACCTTTTATCAGAAACCTCTAGACATTTTACTTGAACACTACTAGAATTCTTGAGGGCCGGTAGATTGTGATTTTTCCAGTACTAGCAGTTTTTAGGCAGTAGCGAAGTGGTAAGACGGTTCAAGTCGACATAACTCTTAGCTGAGTTTTTGAGGCATATTTCCCAATCTAAGGGAGATAGACAAATTTCTGTAATTATCTTTTTCGTAGTTCTAAATTTGCTCTCCAAAAAAGGTTATAACAGAATTTTTGCAATCTGCCTTAGATTCTGAGATATTCATTGAAAACTGACCAATAGTAAAAATCAACTTAAACCGTTTTACCGCTTCGCTACTAAATTTTTCTAATAAATATCTCTCCGTGCACTAATTGTGATGCGATAATTATATAATTAATAGAAATGTTACATTGCACTTATTGCGTTTTATTGTTTCACTACATAAATGACAATATGGAAGTGAAAAGAAAAAAAAATAAACTTACCCGGTTGCGAAGAGAGTAGAAGAATCAATAAGAGAGCCATGAAAATAGGCAATAATTGACGCAATTGAACCATTTTGTCAGATATTTGGAGTAATAATTTGGAAGTACTGTAGGCTTTTCAACTGCCTCTTCTGCTCTGGACATAAAAATTGTTTTCGTGAGGATAAATACCTGCGAACATTGCATTTACATAATAATCGGAGGGTTTTACACAGTTGGTGCGCAATAATTCATGGCATGACTAGATACATAATATGTAAAATGTGTGTTCCACAAATGCAAATAAAACGGGAGTAATTCAAAATTGAATAATTGAGGCATCAGGAGTTGTGTGAATTTTCAGAGAGATGGCGACAGGTGACAATGTCAGAAACACATGTTTCGAGAGGGAGAGCAGACGTAAATAGTGTTCAAAGTGTCAGGCAAGGTTCCTCGATTTTCCGGGTTTTGGGTTATTCTGTGTTATTCTGTGAAGATGCAAGTATCGGACGAGCTCGATAGGATCCTGAGGCAGATTGGAATTGGAGCTAGACCTGTGAATGACTCATTCTTTGATGAAACTCATAAATCGTTTGGAGTTTTCACATCACTGGGGGTTTATCATGCAGATGAGGAGGAATTGTGCCATCCAGAGTGAGTGAAAAAATATACAGTAGAGTACGGTCAGACTGAGGAGATTGTACCTTTGGTTTTCAGAGGTGGGAGACAAGGATGTGAGTGGGGATTGACTCAAGTGGGGGTAACTCTGAGGGGCACAATCTCCTCAGTTCTACAGTAGAGATGGGCGATACACCTCGATATATCGAAGTGTCCGATATTGTATATCGATATTTTTCTACCGATATTTTTGACGACTAACCTAATATGCTAGCATTATAACAAGACCGAACGCGCGCTACAGCGCGCTGTAATTGTAACAATCATAATTGAAAATCTCAAAATGAAATTAATCATGAATTAAATTTGCCGCCTCAGACGACTGCAACCAATGGGGACTAAGCGTGACAGGCTTGCGAGATATCGGTAGTTATCGACTTTAAGTGCATGTTCTTTTTAGAATAGGATCAATGGCTCAATCTTCATCAACACAAACTGTCATTTTTTTTCTAATCGATAGTCGGCAGTTGTTTGCATTGATAATCGATATTTTCATTCGATTAAAAAAAATCGACACCTCGCAATTTTGAGATTTGGGCTGCTCCTTTAGTAATATGGATTGCTATTGAATATTTTTTCGTCAATATCGAAGTCTAAATTTGTTTCCAATGTTCCAGAATTTCGGAAGAGAATAAATGAAATGTTACCAAGAAAAAAGAGAAATATTGTTTTCAATACCGCATGATTTTATTTATTTCAGATTTCATAAAACACTTCGATAAAATCACCCCTCCTCTCTCATTTGACCCATCCCTCACTCCGCCCATCGGCTCATGACCATCATGATCACTCTAGTTGGTTTTCCCGTCTTGTTATTGGTGAATATTTCAGATGAAAAATATATCGGTATATCGGTTCAACGATATTTTGTTCAGAATATTGATATCTTCGAAACCGATATTTTCATCGATTACATCGATAGTTGCGATTTCGATAGAGGCTTCGTATAAGGACAGTAGAGGCATTGTCTACTGGATGGTAGAGGCTTCGTATAAGATACCTTGGGGACGGTAGGAGACTGGAAATCCGGGAATCCCTATGCCCCCACCGCCCCCACTACGCGCGCCCATAGAGAGGAGAAACATCAGCCGGTTTCAAATCAGATACGTCGCTCGTTGCGCCCGAATTCAATGAAATTTTCATTTTCACTGAATGAATATCGATAACTAATCAATTTATACGTGTTTAATGTTTTGAATTTGTATCGCCCGCGTTCCCTTTTCTCTCTAAACATTTGTAATCGAACTTCAGAACTTTCATTTGAGATCCATTTTCCCCTAAGTTTCTGGACATTTCATAATGATTTTATTATTTAAAGGTTGCAGGTCGAATTTAAATCGCGATATTGAGCCGTTAGAAAACATTTTAAAAATCTGAGAAAAATTAGAAAATTTACTTTTGGAGGAAGATTGATGAAATAATTCAACAAATATGAAGCTCAAACTAGCGAAAGATTCGACAGCAGAAGATTTGTCTTAGGCGAATCTAGGGGTGTACAAATGTTTTTAAGTAATGTACAAACCCCTTTGGCACTTAAAAAACATTTCTACATATGATTATTTGATTCTCCTACACTTGAATATCCTCTAAATTGAATTTTCCGCTAACGAATATTCTGCTAGTTTCAGCTTCATTAAACAAGCGGGAAAATTGCTCTTGTATTGCATATTGAAAGACTCGTGGGTTAGAAAAATAAATAGTTTACTAATATAAAAAGGAAAAATGGGACGAAAAGGAGAAAACCAAAGACAGAAGGAAAAAAGGAAGAATAACAATAACAATAGAAAGTGATACGAACCTCAGAGGGGAGGTTTAAAAGGAAAGAAAGAGTGTAGGCATGAAGGAATGCAATTAATAAGCAATTCGTAACATTACTCCCCCCTTCTGAAGAAAAGATTGTCGTCCCGACAATCAGAAAAACCTATTGAGAGCAACGGAAATACGAATTGCCCCGTTATCTGGGGCAATTCGTAACAATATGGTAGTTATTTTTGCTAATAAATTAGCAATGTGCTTCCGAGTGGTTATTTTGCACATCATTTCCTTCTATCATGTATAATTCAGTAACGAAGTGGTAAAACGATACAAGTTAATTTTGACTATTGGCCAATTTTCGAATAATATCTCGGAATCCGAGGAAGATAGCAAAATTTTTGTTATAACCTTTTTTGTAGAGACGATTGAGAGCTACACCAAATACAACTATGAAAATCTCCTTTAGATTGGGAAATATTCCTCAAAAACGCGACTGGGAGATAAGTCGACTTAAACCGTTTTCCCACTTCGCTACTAAATTCATTGTTTATTTCATGTTATTAAATTGAATAAGATTTGTTCTCAACTGATTTTGTCAAATTTATTAATTTAAACGATGTTAGTATAAATGTCAGTAGAAAAAGAACAGAATTTCGAATGGAACTCGAACAGAAATTCAATACAAATTCCTAGCGAAAATGCTGGGTATTGTGGTTTAGTTTTTTCATACGTGTCGTCTTATTTGGCTTTTTGATCTCGCATACCATTTTTTTATTTTCTCGAAATTCATTCGGGCAATCAATTTCAATGAGCTGATACTTTTCTACATTTTATACTACTTTTTTCTTTTCTAGGATGAAGGAGTTTTCGTGTAATGGTCCGGGCTGTTCAGCAACCTTCAAGACACTTGTCGAATTCGAGATGCACTACAACGGTTGCCACGGTTTCACGTGTATAGAGTGTAGGAAGATTCGTCCCACTGAGAGATTACTAGATATACATATTCAGGAGACACATGATAATTTCTTCAAAGTATTAGCAGAGAAAAAGCCAATGGTAACATTGAGTAAATCATAGCTATTTTAGTAATGAAGTGATGCAAAAACGGGAGAAGAGTTCATAAAATATTGCGTGACTGTTTTGCCAATCTTCCACAATTTTGTAGCTGGAAATACCCTCTATCAAAAGGATTCCGCTATATTTCATCTACCCTGGCGAGTTCCAGAGATTTTCTCACAGAAAACTATCTGAAATTTCTGGACTCATCATCAGGTTTTCGGGTCTGTTTTCAAATTCGAATTTTTAAAGATATTTACTCATTTTTCCAGAACCTAATTTTTTGCTTTAGAATGGAAGCTTTGTAGTCGCTCCAATTTAAGTTTCAAATTTTTTACGTTAGGTAACTAAATATGGTCTGAGAAGTTCGAATATGCGATCTTTAGATGGTGTCTGCATGTGTCCATGTATGTGGTCTTTTTTCTTCATTTTTTCTCGTATGGGATCAATTGAATTTCATGAATTTTTGCATTCATATAGACTTTAATAAGCTCTATTCATTGACAATAATTTCAATTTTTCTTATATATTCGAAAAAAATGATATTTTTCCAAAAATCTATTTTTCAACGATCACTCAAAAAATTGTCGTCAAAATGGAAATAGACGACAATGTGGAAAAAATACGAAATCCAATCGCCAACGGAAAACTAGGAAGAGAAGAGCGAAAAGAGAAATTTCTATTGAAGAAAAATTTGTGGAAAAAGGTCGTATGGGCCAAAAAAAATATTGTTCTGAAAAGCTGGGTTAAAATGCTTCTAGAGAGCTCAAATTGTCCAGATTTCATGTTCCCTAGATTAGGGTATACGTGTTTTTCCCACTTCGTTGACCGAAAAATCCCAAAATGGTCAATAGGACCTTTTTCCATTTAGCACCTAAATTCGGTGCACATTGTTAATTTTTTTAATGAATAATCAACTCGAGTTGGTGAATTGAAATTTTTATTGTTCTGGAGGAGATAATTCTGTCTGTCACGTGAAATAAAATAACAAATTGTTTTAATACTCGAGGTATTGGATCAGCATTCTCAATTTTTCGAAGATCTAATTCTCAAGGATTGTACCTCAAAGTCATTTTTCCCTTTCTAGTACCAATGTTTCGTATCAGACTGTTATGAGAAGTTCTCCTCGCCAACCGAGAGGAGAGACCACAGTATAAAAATCCACAAATTTCCGAGTAACTATCGATACGACGAGTCATTGACGCAGAAATCAGCAAAAAAGGAGAAAAAAAGACTGAAAAAAGCAAATGAAAAGAAGAAAGACGGAATCAAGGACATAGAAATGCGAGATGAAGAACCTGAAGATACAATGGAGGTTGACTCCCCAAAAAAAAATTCTCAAAGTCCCAAAAAACCCAAACTGAAGATTAATAAAAATCAAAAATGCAGGACGTTTATTCCAAGTCTTCAAAATCCCACTTCGAAGTCCTCTGACAGCAGCAATCAACCTCCAGTAGCTGTTGAAACATCAAAAGTCGAAGTGAAACCTTCATCAGCAGCTCTCGCGTTCATCCCTCGGCAACTAATGCACAAATCCTATTCAAAAGTTCTCACGAAAAATATGAAAATGGAAAGAGAAGTTCTGGAAAGTGAGAATATGATGGATTTAGCTGAAGCTCTTCCTCAGTAGCATATAAATGAATAAGTAAAACATATGAGGAATGGATAATTCCAATAAACTGTTAGATTTGTGAATAGAAAAATTATTTTTCTATTTTAATACATAAAAATTGGTCAATTAAACATAAGGTTTTATGAATAATTGGATAAATACACGAATAATTACTAAAAAATCTTCGTATTATTTATAATTATAAATATGTTAAATATTGCAACAGTTTCTGTATGTACATGGGAGCATTTTACCAGAAAATTCACACGTCTTAAGTCCTAATTACCACTTTAAAAATTATTTACACCTTAACGTTCTTATTATTACTGACTATCCCTGAGATTCAACCCTGTATTAGATCCACATAATAAGTCTTGGCTCGTAAAAACGAGTGAATAATTAATTAAACTTTGGATAAAGCTACTATCATATAGCCCAAGTCCATATCTCTCTGTAAAAATCTTGAAAAAATGAATACCATGTTTGGGTGCTGTTCTGCACAACCTTATCCTAAGTCTCAGTTAAAACCTTTACAGTTCAGCACTAAAACGAGAAGTGAAAGATGAGTCCAGAACGCATTCGCAACATATTGTCGAAACATCGTCAAATCGAGAAAATTGACAGAAATCGATCGAAAAATCTTTTCCACGGAAAATGCAAAAAATATCTTCCAATGGTATTCTTTGAAACCCAACAGTTCTCAGGACATTCTCGAAATAGTATAACTGAAGTCATGAAACTATTATCAAGAGGTAACAATTTTGTTGAGGAAAACTGTGTTATTGGGAAAACTAAATAATTTCAAGGAGACAATTTTTCTTTTTGGGAAAAAACTATTCTTTCTATGGTATAAACCCATGGAGTTCTCTCAGATCAAATGATTGTCGTACACTAGATTATATTTTTCTCCGTACGAACCTTCACTTTTCCTCGTCCGGGGATTGGTATTGGCCCTTCCCCAAACTTGCAAAAATGAAAATCACTACGGAAAAATATCGTTTACGGCTAGTGCCATGGTTCCCTTCTATAATGTCCATGGGACATTCCATGAGCATTAAAGAAGGGAATTTATATAGCGTTCCACATCTTTGTGACGTCATAGGAAATGATTGGATGGGATTTTGGATGAGTTAAGAGGGGAACCGGGATTATTCTCAATCTGAATAATCAGAAAATTCTTTACTGAAAAAAATGGATAATCCAGACCGGGATTTGAACCCGGGACCTTCCGATTATGCATCGGGTGCTCTCCCAACTGAGCTATCCGGCTCCGAACCATTTCTTCACTTCAAATTTCTGGCCAACCACGCGAGGAAAAAAACCCCATGGCACTCGCCCTCAAATATACTTTTTTGTCATTCCGGCCGTGAGGCAGCGCTTCTCTGCCTACGGCCGTCATAACAAAAAATACTGTTCGTCACATGGCCAAAAAAAACTTTTCGAGCTCATATGATTGCCTATATGATTGCCTATATGAGCCTTCGGCTCGGGCTGCAAACTCATATTCGCCAGAAAAGTTTCTTTCGGCCTAGTGACGAAATATACTAATTCGCGATCGCGACGTAGATGTGAGAGCCACCAAGTGGGCTTGAAACCAACTACTCTTGGGGGCCAACCAATGAAATCACTGGGAGTGAACCAATGATAGGCGTCAATCAATTAGATCACTGGGTTCTCCGTGATCTCATTGGTTGGCCTTCAAGAGTAGTTAGCTTAGAGACCACTTGACGGCTCCCACATCTATGTTGTGATCGCGAATTCCTGCCAACAATTCGAATTGTTCTGGGTATATTTCTGACGATCACGACAAAAATTTAATTTTAGTGAAGGATATATCCTTTCCTCTATCAAGTTGATTAATTTTCCTCAAGTAAATCTGTCCAACTCCATCAAATATTCTCACGTGGAACATAATTTTCCGGTAGAGCAAATTTTGTCTCTTAGTGGGAAGAAAAAATGTGCGAATCCTTCTCCACTCTTCTAGAGATATTTCCGATGATCACGAAAAAAATTTAATTTTTGTGAAGGATATATCCTTTCCTCTATCAAGTTGATTAATTTCCCTCCAGGAAATTTGTTACACTCCATCAAATATTTTCTCGTGGAACATAATTTTCCGGCAGACCTAATTTGTTCTCTCACTAGGAAGGACAAATGTGCGAAAACCTTCTCGACTCATCCCCTCTCTTTAAAAAAATTCATTTTCCGGAAAGTTGATCCCTTAATCGTAAAAATTAAAACCTAAAATTTTTTCAAATTCAGTCCGACTCGGTTCCGTCACCCCCCCCCCCCCCCCCCAATTAAATTCTTCNATTTGAGTAAACCATACACCTAAGCTTGGCAGTTTCGTTTCTCAACGCCACGAGTTCATATTTTAATTTCATGTTCTCCTGTTCGAGGAATGCCGCACGAATGGCGATTTCGTCTTCCTTAGCTCTCCGCGCGTCCCTGGACCTCTTGGCAGCCTCATTGTTTTTCCTCCTCCTCTCCCAGTAAGCAGCATCTTTATCATCCAAGACACCCATGGTGCTGGTGGGCAGCCCCGGGCTTTTGCTGACCCTCCTCATTTTGATGTTGGTACCCTCGTTCGTTTTCCTGACAGAGTCCAGCATTCTCTTTCTAAATTCTGAGTAAGCTTCGTTGGAGTTCTGATCGTAGATGATCTCCGGGCCCATTGTGAGGGCGAGAGGGTCCTTCGGATAAGCCTTGAAGGGTCTCGGTGCCTTTTTCGACGTTTCTGGGGAGACCAGAGGGAGTGAAACCTCTTGATTATTCGGTGGAGTGTTGGAACTCAACACTGGCATCTGTATCTGCTTCATTGTTCCTCCGTTCTGATTAGGGAGAAGGGGTGGCATCGCCGGGGGAATTGCCACTGGCATTGGCAGATTCCTGGGCAGCAGTGGATAACGATGAGTTATTTCAGACGTTATTGGAGCTATTTGAGGATAAATTGGCTCGTACTTTGGCTTCTTTGGGGAGTCGGTTTCTGAGGGAGGTGTCACCATGAACGTTCGACCCTCGAATGGACTCTTTCGCTCGTCCTTGAAGCCCAGTTGGTGCTGGGGAGGCTCGCTTGTATGTGATTCACTCGTGGGAGAGAGGGAGCGAGGCTCTGAGGATGCTGGGCTTAAGCTGTAGGAGATTCGTTGGGGTAATTGATCTTTTCTGCAGGACAGGTCCAGGATCGGAGGCTCCGCGTCCTTCTTTGCGGGCTTCGTGAAGTCCAGCGCGTGATCAGTGGGGTGCGACTGATTGTAGGAATCCATCGCCATGGAGAGGAATGTCAATTTCTGGAAAATTACAAATTTGAATTCTTTAGATTTTGTTCGGGGTCAATTTTTATGGGGAAAATGTTTTCTGTTCTTTCTCTTTGATTTTTCTGTTATTTTAATGGCTTTAAACCATTACGGATTTTTCTGTAAGATTTTACATAAATATATAAATATATTTTTTATCACTTGTGCGTAACGTGACATTGCACGCACGCGGAGCGTACGCAAAATCTCACTTTTCACACATTGCGATGAACAATAGGGTTCGACACTCGTGGGAAAAGTGTTCTTTGACCCTTGAAAGGGCAACACTTGTCTTCGGCGAGCAAAAGAGTTTGAGTTTGCCAAACGGTGCTGAGATATTGGGGTCAATTTGAAGCAAAAAAAAAATCATTAAAAAAATTTAGAAATTAAAAAAAAAACACGACTCCGTTAATTTCGCCTGGTAATTTGGCGGGGATTTGTTCGTAAAGCTTTGACATATTTTACATGTCATTCATACTCTGAACGTAGAGTTTTAGGAAAATTCATTTGTAAGTGTTAGCTAAATGAATCGAAAATTTATTTGCCTGATACCCAGCCTGTTAAATTTATTCTACAGTTTGACAATTTAGTAATTCGTCGTAGAGAGCTTTCATTCAGTTATTAGGCTGTAACTATGAACAAGTATTATTGCCAATACTATGAACTATGAACTACTATTATTGCCAATACACCAATTTTTTAAAGAAATACCTTCGGTGAACTTTCGAGGAAAATTGATCTGCAGATTATTTTTATTTATGCCGAACTTAACTGAACATTTTCTTAACTGGGCTTGGGGCAACCGGGCCATAACGTTTTGCAAAGTGAATGAGTTGAGCCCGGTTACGTAGAATCCCGAGAGAGAAAATCCTCAGTTGAGTATCGGAATGTGAAGAAATAAATTGAATAAATTTGTCACAAAAACTTTTCCGACGAGGCGAAACCGAGAAATGCAATCACACGAGTCAGAAAAGTTGTTTTCGACCGAGTGACGAACATAATTTTTCTTCACAATGTGACAATGTGTAAACAGCGTTTGACGGACACGAAGTGCACGAATTCCATTGAAGGAATTTCATCAAAAAACGTAGTGTGTCAATGTATCATCACTATTTACTGATAATACCACTAATTATGAGGCGTTTAGTCGATATTCACGACCCAGTAGCTGAATAAAAACGCTCTATGATGAATTTCTACAATTTTCTAATTATGGAATAAATTTACTCCAGACATAAATTTATCCTGACGATTCATTTGGCTATCAGGGCTTGATGTTAATGGCCCTGAATAATTGAAAGTAATTATCTATTGGAAATGAAAAACAACTGAATTCCGAAATTAATTGATTTACTAATAACGAAATTATCGTAGAAACCCAATATTTCTAGAGAAAAATGTAGCTGAGAAAGTTTCCTAGAAAAAAATTTCTCCAAACATGTCCACCCAGAGGCACTCATTTTTAAAATAATTCCATAATTACCAACGAATTAAGAAAAATCGAAAGTTAAATTCCTTTAAAATTTGAGAATAATTACCTTCCAAAAAATTCCAGTGTTAATTAAGTCACTTATTGATCACCACAAAAACCACACAAATTCTGTCTAGACAATTCGTCGTCGGAACAAAATGAAAATAGAATAAACCGAAGTAATACGATTTTCCCAGTGAAGAAATAGAGGATTTTTTAACACTGAAGAAACACAAGAAGAACTGAACGTTCCGGAGTCCGAGAACGGTCTACGACTATATGGGGGTGGTCCTAAGGCTTATATAGTGGACAACCCTTGCGAGGTACAACTGGGGTAGGAGGGACTCTTGGTAGTAGTCCCCAAAAACTGACCAAGAGTGAGGGTAACAGATTCTTGAGTGGGGAGGAGCACAATTTGACCCATTGGACAGTGGAAGTGGGGGTTTGGCACGCGTCTAAATAGAAACGAAAATTTTACGAGAAGTTGTCTTTGGTGTTTACCTGAGGCATTCCGACAGACATTCTTGGGTGTATATCGCTGTATTTCCGAGACTGTGATGACAAATAGTTAGATGTGATTTACGTTTCAATTTATATTGAGATTATTTCCTTGATTTTTAAGGACATCCAAGTAGGGTAAACAGGTCAATTTCGGGACGATTTCAACTTGCATTAAATATTCCATAAATAAAATAAAAATTGTACTTATTATTTCCCCTTCCAATAATATTACTCGAGTATAATCACGTGATCAATTATTTTTTCGATTGATCGACATTTAAGAAATAAAAAAAAAATCCCAGTCGTCCAGAAATTAGGGGTTTCGACTGCATTCAACTATTTCTGGATTTAATTATTCTTTGTTTTGTTATTTTCACTTCAAATTTTTTGTTTTTGCTAATTAAAACATTCTTGAAGGTATGGAAGCCATCATATCCCCATTTCGGTGATTCTTTTATTTTAAATTCTACCACGAAAGTTGAATTTCCCCTTGAAAGTCCAGTAATTGGCCTGTTCACCCTAATTTGGCTGTTTTTTCTCCAGTGAAATGCTTTTCTACTTTTGCAGTCGAACACCAGAGCTTTCATTTAAGCCCCATTTGACCCTAAGTTTCCAGATATTTTACAGTGATTTTATTATTTAAACTTTGCAGGTCTGAATTTGAATCTCGATATTGAACCGTTAGAAAACATTTTAAAAATCTGAAAAAAATTAGAAACTACTTTTGGAGAAAGAATGATAAAATAATTGAAAAATTGCAATTTTGAAAAATTACGAGCGTTTTCTATCAATAATTTATAAGCAATCAATTTTTCACCATAAAAATCATTTGTTTGGAATTGTAACAAATTTATTTATATTCAAAATTTTACCAAGAATCGATGTCATGCCTAAAAAAGAGGTTTCCAAAAGTTTAAACAATTTCAATTATTCATTTATAAACAACGAATGTTTCAAACATTAATAATACTGTGCAAAATGTTATTTGATGTTTTCCAAATTGTTTCACTCAATTTAATTGATAAATTTGATCATTGAAAAGGGTTGAATCTATAGTGTGGTCTATACCAAACTGTAAAACATACTTGGATATCATTAAGGAATACCTCTAGAAAATACGTTTTTCTTAAGATTGTTCCCATGTTTTTCATAAATAATGTTTATAATAGCTCTCAGCTGATGAAAAAATTTCTAACTGGCTAGACTACACAGTTTAGCAGATAATAAATAATGAATTATAGGTCCCTCCGAGCTCGAATTTTCCATCTTATGTGAAAATGGTTCTGACGATGTTTTTAAAGAACTAGTCCATTATAGATTGGTAAATTCCGAATGCGATTAATTTTTTGTAAAAATTTGTACTACATAGTTTCAGCGATATCAACTCTAAAAAATCGAAATTTCTTTTTTCGAGTTTTCAACTCTAAAAATCGAATTTGAAAGCATTTCTCATTTTATTCAAACAATGAATTAACAAATAATTTCATTAACAACATATGATGATAGAAAAACCCAACAAGTTATGAGAATGAAATAAATTAAGTCGTTTAGAATATTTTCCGGAAATCCACAGGGACTAACTTTTGGGTGCTATTGTCTTGGGATATACCTTAATCCGAAAATTATCGTATGCAATACCTCAAGAACTTCAGAATTATCAGGTATTTCCCGATCGGTTCATTGCAAACTTGACGAGTTCGTTTGTATGGAGGGAACCTTGAGGAAAATTCCTGATTAATTTTCAAACTCGAGTGGTATTCAGAGGAGAATTTTCCCATCCAAATTTCGACCAAGAGAATTGCACTATTCGACTGTTATTTTATATAATCAACACGGTATTTTTTCATGTTGATATATTTATGAAAACTAAAAGATTTCCTGGTTAAGTGAGACCCTCGTTGGAACTGACATGAAAAATTACCAATGGAATTGTCAAAAATTATCAGCTATAATACCCCAAGACCTTCAAAATTATCGGATATGTCCCGAATGTTTTGGTGCATAGCAACGAGAGGGATCAATTTTACTGCAAAGCTGATCCCGATCGTTGATACGCAGGAAAACTTGAGAGAAATATCCGATGAATTTTGAAGGTCAAGGGATATTCGGAGGACAATTTCTTCAATTCTGATTTTGGCCGATCAGGGTGCAGTGTTCAGTGTTACGGGACACATTTCTGCAAAATGTGAGGAATATCTGTCAAATTCGTAGAAAACAATTGACAGGCTACAGGGAAATTATCAGTCTGATAATTTCCCTGCAGCCGGGGAAATTATCAGTCTGAAATGCGTCACGTGACTCCGAATACTGCACTCTGAGTGGTCAAAATCAGAATTGAGGAAATTGTCAGTTGAATACCGTGTTGACTGTATAAAATAACAGTCGAATAGTGCAATTCTATTGGCTAAAATTTGGATGGGAAAAAATCTCGTGATAATTCAGCATATCGAATCAACTTTTTGTGAATCAACGATGAACTCGAGTATTCTGAAATAATTAGATGAAATGTCAAACATAAAATTTTCATGATTGAAGGGTAATAATGGGAAAATTTTCGAAAATTTACAGAGGCAATTTCCAACGGTGTTTTTACAGCCGTCAATCCAAAAGATCCTTAATCCGTGCAATTACATTATTTCGTTAATCCAGGTACTCGTCGATACTTTATAATCGACCGACCCTTTCCCAAATTTTTACTACCTCCCCAAAACGGGCAAACTCTATGCGAAAAAAATTGGCTAACCGACTCATTGTTCCCAGAAAACGTCACTCCGTCCGTTTCCTCGATCTCTTTTCCATTCGTTGTAAACCAGTTATAAAGCAATTTAGTTTATTCTTGAGTGGTAAAACTCGATGATTGTAAAAATCCATTCGTACATTATTCAGAAAATATCCTTAAAGCTACATACCTGATGGAATTTATCAAATAGATTCCACAGACAATATTTTCAAAAATAGTAACATTTTTCCTTCACGTCACGAAATATTTAAGGATATCCAAATTAAATTTTTTCATTAAAATAATTCGTCTCAAATCCGTTATTCATTTATCTATAATACCGAAATTTCCCAGAAATAGATTTCATTTTTTAAAAATTGGGTTACCAAACGATCCACCAATTGGTGTCATTTATACATGAGAGGGGAATCTAGTAAAATTACGATAATATGTTGCAAAATGTGATTTAGATGATATCGATTATAAATGAATTTTGAAAAAAATCAGAGAATTCAAGTGTGAAATTTTATAACATCGTCAAAAATCATTTTCTAGGTTCGAACCTGTGAAAAATTCAGGAAAGATAAAAATATTAAAACTAAGAGTAGGTTTGTAAACATTTTGAAATTAAAAAAAAATGAAATCTAACACAATGAAATGAAGAATACTAGAATATTTCTGGGGAAATGCATTACAAAATTGAAAACGTCGGAAAGGCTTTACCATTTTCATAAATAATATCCAAAATTTTCCCAAAAATCGCTTTCAGAAAAAGATCATGTTACCGAACGATCGAACAATTTTGATCATTTATACATGAGAGGGGAATGTAGGAAAATGACGATAATATGTTGCAAAATGTGATTTAGATGATGTCGATTATATATGAATTTTATAAAAATATCAGAGAATCCAAGTATGAAATTTTATGACATACTTAATTATCATTTTTCGGATTCGAATTTCTGAAAAATTCAGAAAAAATAGGAATACTAACCCCAAGAGTCGGCTCGGAAACATTTTGAGATTAAAAAAAAAATGAAATTTAAGAAAATTAGATGAAGAATACTAAAATATTCATGGGAAAATGCATAACAAAATTGAAAACGTTGAAAATGCTTTAACTCTTTTCGTAAATAATTTGTCTCAAATCCGTCACTTTTCATCTATATCCAAAATTTTTCCAAAAATCGCTTTCAGAAAAAAAATATGTTACCGAACGATCGAACAATTTTTATCATTTATACATGAGAGGGAAACGTAGGAAAATTACGATATGTTGGAAAATGTGATTTAGATGATATCGATTACATATGAATTTTTTTAAAATTATCAGCGAATTCAAGTGTGAAATTTTATGACATCGTCAAAAATCATTTTGTGGGTTCGAACCTCTGAAACATTCAGGAAAGCTAAAAATATTAAAATCAAGAGTCGGTTCAAAAACACTTTGAAAATAAAAAAAAACTAAAATTTAAAACAAAATTGAACGTGCGTCGAACAAAATCCGTCATTTTTGTGTCTACACCCAAAATTTTCCCAGAAATTCATTTCATTAAAAAAATTAGGTTATCGAACGATAGAACCATTTTTGTCATTTATACACGAAAGAGAAGTATAGAAAATTACGATAATATGTTGCAAAATGTGATTTAGATGATGTCGATTATAAATGAATTTAACGAAAATGATCAGAGAATTCAAATGTAACACTTTACGACACATTTAATAATCATTGTTGGATTCGAGCGTCTGAACAATTCCGGAAAAATAAAAATATTAAAATTATATTGACCTTCAGCTTTATCTCGTGCCTCACAAATTGACAGGGGGAATTAATCCCAGGTATCCAGCTAAGACACGGGATTTCCTGAAATCCAGTTAGTTGGCCTAAATCCCTTGGCCGAGGGCCTAAGATACGAGGTCCTGGAATAAGGTAAAGGTGCCAGCAGGTTGGGTTCAAAGAGTTAAGAGACTCTTCGGTAGCCAAAAGTACCTCTTGATTGATGATTTCAAAGTGCCTTTGTAGACGTCTCG